ACAAGCTTCGCAAGGCAGTGATTGAGTGGTATATCGAGCATCAAGTCGGTAAGCCTTGTACTCCTTCTTTGTCTATCTTGAGCTTTGAGAGACGTCAGGTTTTGACTCGCAAGAGGAAACAGGCTGAGCTGAAAGACGTTCCATCAGCAGTTGAGATTGTTGCTTACGGCTGCAAACTGCTTGGTGGAGACAAGGATCTCCTTGAAGCTTTCTTTTCAGCAGTTGTCTTGATCCTGACGCGTGAACCTCAGAGGCTCTTGGAAGAGAGGAACAGAGGAGCTGATTCTTCCAGTTTCAACAGAAATCTCGGTCCATCTGGAGTGGAGTTTCAGATAGATAGAGAAGCTGATTCGTCCAGTTTCAGCAGAAATCTCGGTCCATCTGGAGTGGTGTTAGATTTAGATAGCCACAGCGAAGAAGTCGTGGTGTCAGAGTCTAGCCAGAACCATGACTGAAGAACAGCAGAGCACAGTCCCACCACCGTTTGTTGCAAATGCCGATGCCAGTCCTGGTCACAGTCCCGTGCATAGCCCAACTGGCAGTGTGGCCACCGCAGAGGCGCATCTTCTTGAAATCCTGTCAGGCATGCAGCAGAACCAGCAAGTGTTGACAGAGCTTCTCAGGAGTCATCAGGAAAGCCGTAGTGCGTCATCTGCATCCTCAGGTCTTGCTGCAAAGGACTTGAGCAAAGTGTTGAGGCATCCATCACCCTTTTCATGTGCCACGCGTGACGAGGAATTGGTCAAATGGCCGTCTTGGGCCTGGGAATTCGAACAATATCTTGGCACTCTTGATAAAGACTTCCAGGTAGACTTTGAGCGGTTGAGATCATTCCCAAAGAGGGTTGTTACCAACGCAGTTCTCAACGAGGCTGAGTTGGACAGATCACGCATCATGTACGGGTTGCTTGCCTCACTCTTGAGCGATCGCCTGAAGCGACTCTTGAAGACAGTCCCAGGTAACAATGGTTACGAGGCATATCGACTGATTTCCTTGGAGCTTCGCCCTTCATCCAGGACCAGAGCCCTAGCCCTAATGCAGACCATACATAATTGGCCAGTCTTCGACAGCAAGCAAGGTCTGTTGGCACAGGTCGTCCGGCTTGAGCAGGCAATGGCAGAGTATGACTCGATTGCTTCACAGGCCCTGTCAGATGACCAGAAGGTTGTGTCGCTGCTACGCTGTCTGACTGGGCAGCTCAGGCAACATGTGAACCTGACCATGGAAGACTCGTGGACGTATGCCGAGTTGCGAGGACTTGTTGCCAGGTATGATGCATCGTCGTCAAAGTGGAGTGCATCAGTCGCAGCAACTTATGGTCTTTCTGAGGGCAAAGGCGGTGTCTTGATCAATGCCCCCGCTGCTTCCAGTGAGCCCACGCCTATGGAGATAGATAGGGTTGGCGGCAAGGGAAAAGGCAAGAAGGGTGCTAAGGGCGATAAAGGGAAGTCAAAAGGGAAAAGTGACAAGGGCAACAAGGGTAAGGGTCGAGGTAAGAAGGGAAATGGGAAAAGACCTAATGCCACCCCTAACCCTGCTGCCAATAAGACTTGTCACAACTGTCATCGCAAAGGGCATTTTGCCCGCGACTGCCGTTTTCCTGCTGTGCGACAGGTTGAGGACTCAACCGACCAAGGTGCGTCAGCCAGCAGTGAAGCAGCTCCAGCTGCACCAAAAGCCAAAACAACGCCCAAGGCCCAGGTGAGGCGCGTCGCATACAACTTGGATGACTTTGATGAGTCCTTCGATGGTAGTGTGCGCATGGTGTCCAGAATGTGTTCAGATGAGGGTAACTTTCCTTCAGCAGGTCGTGACAATGTGAGGTCAGAGGAAACTGCAAGTTTCTTGAGCAAGGTTCGAAGCGTCTTCTTGAAGTGTTTGCCGTCGAGGTGGTGTGTTTCCCACAATGCATCGCCGAGTGACGCAACTGATGAG